GCAGAAGTGAGCAGGATATATAATTGCTTTGCCTATTAATTCCTTGCCTTTTTTGTAAAGTTCCCAGCTTCCATGTCACTTGGGACAGGGATTTGTCCACTGGAATTGAATTATCTGTTGTGTACATTAATTGGAGCTACATTTCCTCTACACTATCCTCTGGTTCCTTCTATATGCTCTTTGTTCTTTGCACATCACTGGGATGCTCCTGTGCTGCGTCATACAACCGACTGCCACCAACTTTCTACAATGTCTCATCTTTTTCCTGTTTCAGCTGTCAAACTTCTCGATCATATTCTCTACCCTATTTTTGGAACAGATGCTGTCATCTTCTGTATGTTTATATCATGCCTAATACAGGAGGGTTCTGGTCTCTGACATATGTCTCATTAATTTTATTCACAGTCAGTGACTATTTAGGGGAGTGTTTTGTTGTGCTACTTGTATAATTATAGTGGATTTTCTCTCCTACTACCCTGGTAAATTGTTATTAAGAGTTTATTATATTAAAATAATTTACCATTGTAAATTATTATCAGAGAGCAGATTCCCATTAATTCCATTTCTTGTGAAAAAGTCACAAGATGCATCTCCCCAGTTTGGGCTGATCTGACCCTCTGCACTTAACATAAATTAAAACATACCCATGTGCACACTTGCACGCACATGGCAGTCATGCGTGCTCACACAACTTGCTTTGCTCTGACCCCCTCCAAGATGGACATGCCAGATGCAGTAAAGCTGGAGGCACTCCCATCTCTTGCAAGCCCTTAGATTCTCTTCTCACCAGCCAGAATATTTCAGAAGTATTTTCAGAAACGCAGGTGCATGTGGTTGTCAAGAGCAGCTTGCTTTGAGTTACACTGCTGTTTCACCTTACAGCAGCCGTGCTCTCAGGGGCAATTATCTGTGTAGTAATTAATGAGAGAGTTTTCTCTGATGCTGCAGCATGATTCACACAGCTTCCAAAAGATTAGTTTATTAGTCACTGAATAAAATATTTGCAGATGTACTGTGCTGTGTTAACGTCTTTACTGGATATGACTCGTTACAGATGCAGAAGATCTGCAGGGCCAAAATGTGACTGCATGACCTAGAATTTTAGGCTCCTCCAGCAGCTACCATGACGCCAGAGTCAGCAAGGGGAACTTTGCTCTGGCTTTAACTTGCAGCAAAGGTCTGCGGTCGGGGCTGGGTGGATGAAAAAGACCTTTTGCCTCTTTACTGCTGCCCATCTGCAGTAGCAGGGAAGGAGGGACAGCAGTTGCTTGCTCTCTATAAGGGTTGGAGTGCTTTTCTTGGGGGGCAGGGGGTGAGGATACCTTGGCTTGCTAGCTCCCTTTCCTGAAATAGAGTATAGAGAGCAAAAGTGGACTAAGTGATACCAAACACTTAGTGCAACAAAGTTTGTGCTTTCTTAGTATTTTGTTTCATGGGTTAAAGGTGAGCTTGGCACAATGAACTTTAGCCTCATAAGGAACTCGTTCCCATTAGCTTCCTTTTTTTTTTTCTTTTCTGAAGTGTCTGTATAAGCATTTTTTAAAAATGTGACCCTGTTATCGAACGCTGGGTTGCATTGCAAACATGCAGCAGTTCTGCCTTTTGCAAGTTCCCAAGACATGGGATATACAGCCTAATTCCTTTGTCTGGAATACTAATACTAATTAACTTTGATTAGTATTAACCTTAAACATGCTACTCCTGACCTATGCCAAAGTTAGCTGTAGGAGAGTCAGAACTGCAACCCATGAATGAAACTGGAATGGATTTGAGACTATACACTTGGCAGAAGTGTATATTGTGAAATTGTGAAGAGTAAGGTAAGTAGGTTTTAGAAGTCAGTTAAATTAGTGTCGTCTTTGGATGGTGTCTGCAGCAGGAGAATGCTTGAAGACTCGTTAGCTAATAATTCATAGCGAATACATGCTGTGCGTGACTTAGCAGACAGTGTGAGCAGGTACTGACCCCGTTTGTGTGCACTGCATTTAGCCATAGCCAGCACTGGAACTGAAAACCATAACACACAGAAGAAATATGATTTAACTCTGGGACCCTTTCACCTCTGAGTAGGAGCAGGGGACTGCTTCTTCAAAATGCATGAAGTGATCAAGGTTTTAGCAGTAGAAGGGATAGCTGTTTCTTCTTGCAGCCTTGTGTGAAAACTGCTTGGGACTTAATCCATTGCTTTGTTTTGGCATCCTGTATATTGACAGAGAAATGTTAGGAACAAGCATATTACCGAAAGCTCCTTCTGTGGCAAAAGACCTTCAGTTAGGAAGTACAAGACAAAGAAAAAATAATATTCATTAATCATACCTTACCATACCATATGTAAAGTAATCAGGTTAGGATTGTCTTCAATTTTGCTGGCCTAATAAACAGAGCATCTATCAGAAACACTTGTTTCAATGATACAAAAATGAGAGTGACTGTTTTCCTTTACCTGTGTTCAGTGGTTTACAGAAAAGAAAATTCTGCACCAAAATTAGCCTGAAATTTGAAAAACTCATCAGTGCTTGAAGTGGGTCAAGAAATGAGCAGTGTAATTCCTTCACATTACTCCTAATGCCATATTTGTGTTTATGGATGTGTTGGCCTTGGTTGATGGTAGGTTCTGCTTTTGTAATTTAATTTAATTTCTTTCTTATTATAAGCACACAGCTTGCAAATCTAATAATAAATTTCTGTAAATATTACTTTGGGAGGCATCTGTTCCTTAAGGAAGCCTTAGAACCGGTGTTTGTTTTATTTATAAAATATGCACAATGTAAATAGTCCCTGGAAAATCTTCTGCTAGGCTGGGGATGTGATGACATACAGGGACAGTATGATCCTTTAGGTCAGGCAAATCTGAATGAGTACTTGGAAAGAAATGTGACAAACTTCCATCTTTTTAGGGGCTCATCTGGTCGCAGGTACAGTGACACAATGGCAAGTGTTCCCCATTGCTCTGATAGCTAAGAGATGAGGTAAAGTAAGTTTGCAGCAAGTTTGCAGAAGGAACTGTATTGTTTATACATGCAGGGAGTTTCTGTGTGTGTGTGGCTTTCTTTATCCTTGTGTCTCTGTACTAGACAGCGACATCCTGTGTCAGTACGGCCAAGCTGCCTAGATGCACAAAATTTGGTGGAGGAGTTGTGGTTTACATCAGTTGAGAGTTTTCTCCTGTAAGGAGGAGTAGCCTTAGACAGAAAGTGATGTGTCGTTTGACTGAGATTTTTCTTATTTGCTTTGTTCTGGCCATTAGATCAGCTGCACTGTTTGTACTTCAAAGGCTGTAAAACGTTATGTAAACACATTGTATGGTGTGTCCATCCTGAGCTTACTTAAATCTGCAGCATCCACGGAAGAGATGATCAGAGGCACCCAATGCCTGGGCCCCCTGCAGTGGTAGAGGATGGATGAAGTGAGATAGGTCTGAATGACACCTATGGACAAACCATGCCCCAGAAGACAGAGGGGTGAAAATCCCCAATTTCACCCTAGAAACTCCTATTCAACCCTGTATTTGGCGAATCGCAGGAGATACACATCTGGGGATATTTTTCCATGCATCCATCCTTTATTCAGCATTATGCAGTCTCCTTTCTCCAAATGTGGCCCTTCCCAAGTATTCAGATGGTGGAAAAACAACAAAAAACACAGATGAGAATGCCTATCCCCCTTGTAAAAGCACTCCTTCCTGACCTCTTGCACTGGCTGGCTGTGCAGTATCCCTGAAGCAGGCAATTTGACTGTAGTGTTTTTTGCTGCAAAGCTGCATCAAAGCTGCAAGAGGTTCTCAGAAGGCAATGCAAAGCTGCTCTTTTTCCCCATGGTCCATAAAGAGAAGACATGAGCAAGAGAACTGTTACTTTATTCCTACATCAGAACCATATTCTTTTATCTTCTGCAATTTTCCCTAGACAGTGCATTAAAGTATATATTATTTATTATAATGTATATTATAAAAATGGATATTATAAAAGATAGCTAATACGCAAATTTGAAGTCCAAGAATCTCTATTATAAACTATTTTAGATATTTGGATGTGGTCCTGGGCAACTGGCCTTGCTTGAGCATGGAGGTGGGATAAGATGACCTCCAGGGGTCCCTTCCAATGTCAACCATTGCTGTGATTCTGTGAACTCCATGCTAGTCTCTGCCTCCTCTGATAAACTGTCCTTGTATTTAGTTCCCCCCTGGTTAGTGCTTTATTATTCAGATAGTCTGATATCATGGTACAGTAGAGAATTCTGACCTTTTGGTTGGTTTGGGATTTGATAAAGTGTTGTATTTTGTTTATGTTTGAGTAGTAGCTTTATGCAAATAATGTTACCAAAGATGGAAGGTGGTTAAGCCCTCAGTTTGATTTGCCACCATTTTTACATTTTGCGTTATGTTTGTTTTGCACTGTCAGTGGGATACTACACATGCATGGAGTTAAGGAGGTCAGTATGTGCTTTTCTGGGTTAGGACCAGAAAGTTTGAAATTCATACAAATGATCCCTTATGTATATTTTGCTAGACCTAAAGTGTAGGAAAATAGGATGGAAAGGATTATAATTTTCTACTGATTCAAAAAATGTTATTTGGCAAGAGTGCTATTTCTTTCAACTGCAAAATCAGTAGAAAGGTAACTCCATAAGAGGACAGAGTGAGATGACTGTGCAATCAGCTCAGATATGTTAATTTGGGTTATGTGTGTAGAGCAAATGATGCCAGCATAAGAAAACCTCACTTAATTCTTAGCAATTACCTACGATTTATGACAGAATTACCATGATGTAGCTCTTGGAAGAACCTTAATCAAACTCAACTGTGGTGATATGTCATACAAGAACAAAGAAAGATGTCTGTGAGAGAGAGAGGTAGAGAGGGGTATAATTTTATTCTCTGCCTTTGAAGGTGAACATTTTAATGATATTTCTTGTAAACAATGTGAGATTTGAAGAAGCAGCGGTCACCTAATCTTAGGAAAAAGAACACAGGTCTTGAATTCTTTCATCCATTCAAATAGAGCTTCAATTGTTTATTTTATAAGGGATCTTGGAACCACATTATCGCATCTCCATGTCCTGTGGATGGCTTGCTGTGGGCTCTCGGATTTAGATGGGATCTCTTCCTGCAGCTCTCTAAAAGTAAGTATGGATGTGTCCTGCCAAATGACAATCTCAAAACTATCTTCAATTAATATTTTTCTCTTTACTTGTAGTCTTTGTTCTCTTCTCACCCTTTGTTTTTCTAAAGGACTTTGGTTGGATGCCTTGGATTGCATGTGTTAGGTTAAAAGTCACTATGGTTTGTTTTTTTTTTTAAATGAGGTGTAACATTCAGGTCTGATCCTGAAGATGCCTAATGTAGCATAGCATTCGTTGCCATATTAGCCCTAGTTATTTCAGGCGGCAACAGCCACACTTGAAAAATGTTCACTTCTATGTTAATTTCATGCTGTGCCATGTAATATTTCAAATATTAGAAAACATTTTGCAATGCTTGAGTGTTACCTGTGCAAGCCTGTGGTTTACATATTTATTCTGTTTACTTCTGCTGAGGAACTCTATATAGCCTATAACAATATCTCTGACCTGAGCCAGCTGACCTGGTTGGATCACCTTGAGGTTTTGGACCTGGAAGGGAACAATATCGAGGACATCAACCAGATACAGTACCTGGGTCTTTGTTGTAAGCTGAGCCACCTGACAGTGGAGGGCAACCTTATTTGTCTGAAGCCAAATGCAGAATCTGCAGAGGTGAGGACTTGGTTTGCACATATTGTGTTAATTTTTGGTGGTGCTTTTTTAGTTTGAGTTGGAAATGAGAAACATTTCTGCGTCTTCCTATTGTATCATTCTGAGTGATGACATGAGATGCATTTCCCATCTTTCATTTCTGATAATTTTGTCCTCTCATGGGTATTGTCTCCAAGATGAGCATAAATGAAATACAAGGAGTGCTAGTCAGGTCTGTTTCCTAGCAATGTGTTCCTCCTTACCTGTGAGAATGGGATTAAACTAGAAATTGAGCTGTTCTGATCCATACAGCTGTTCTGTCTTCTCCCAGCCTGCAATGCAAACTGGCATCTGAAAGAAAGACCAAGGAGAACATGGACCCCAGCTGCATGGATCCTTTTAGCCTGTAGAGATCTTGCAGCGGGTTAGAAAGTAGCCAATATTTTTCTTACAAGATATGCCAATTGCAATGTCTCAATTAGATATCTGTCTTTGGGCTTTTGCATTTCTTTTGGAGGCTCTCCGGTCCAACCTCAAGTGCTCCAGGACCACCACAATCAAAAGTTGAATGCTCGGAAAAACGGTGCTTTAGATAACTAGGAAAAGCTATATTGTAGGAACTGCTTGTTGCCCTTTCCCCTGAAAAAAACATTAAAATGAAATGACCAAAAAGACTTTGAGCAAAAGCTGAAGATGATACAAAATACAGTGATTCACCTCTTAAGTACTGAAATGATAGAGTCATTCCTGCAGAGGTATTTTGTTGAGTGCATGAGATCCTCTGTGTCACAAAGATGAAAACACAGTAATACATGATCTGCTATGGGTTTCAGGGCACTCAGCAAGAAAAGTAAAGGGAGACCTAATTCTACATGAACAGTCTCAGAGCTGTATTACTCTCTTTCATTTGCCTCTGTTTCAAATAAGAACATTGTTGGGATAAAAAACCCCGAGCATCTTGACATGTACTGAAAAAGTAACTGGAAGAAAATCAGAGTTTAAAAAAACTTAGTCAAATAAGATTGTTCCTCATTTTGGTCACGTAATATCTAACGCATATCATCAGATGACAGTTTACAGCCAGTGCAGGATACACTGTCACCTTTTGGAAGGTCACAGGCCTATGCACACACACATAGGTATGCAATACACAGCAGTCACTAAGGATGGCGCAGTCCCCACTGACCCCATAAAGAGCGAATAATGCAGGGGTTAGAAAGCAGAGCAGAAGCTGGTGCTGTGACCCCACTGTGCCATGTTCTATAGCTTCCCTCTGCATTTCAAAGTGATCGTGCCCAGGCCGTTAATTTGCATAGAAGTTCGGGGTTGATATTTGTCTTGGATTTAGACTTGAAAACTGAGGTGCTATCACTAAAACTCAATCATGTAGTAGATATGCACATTTTAAATCTTCACACTTTTTAGATGCATGAGTTATTAGCATTTTTCATATGTAATTGTTGGCTTGATAATAGCCCTCAGTAAAAGGAGCCACAGAAGGTAGTGCTTTAGGTATCATAATTTTTCTTTCTGGAATTCAAAAGAAAATATTATACACTTGCATTTGTGTTTTGAACTGGTATAAGTATACTTCAGAGACCACACTTGTAACTATTTATAACCAAAGTGATTTCCCCATCAACATATCTCCCTTACGGAAGCTGCAATCATGAGAGGAAAACACCATATTCCTAAAGTAAGGAAGCACTGCCTGCTTCTGATGGACAAAGCATGCCTACTTACTCTTTTACTCCCACAGAGACAAATACAACTTCTAACACTTCCTTATCATAGCTTCCTACTATTGAAATGGTGCAGTATATCCTAACAGCATAGGAAGTCCGTTTCTACTCCCTTGTCATTCCTGC